GTATTTAAGTTAAGCCTGTATAGATAATAACTACAATATATAACAATTAATTATTCAAGCTTGGGTACAGTTATGAAAACTGGCCATCTTTATGTAATGATAACACTAATTTTGAGTGTATTTTAAATAAGATACAAACAGATAAATGTAATCAACTACATTATTTGAAATAATTTGATTTAAACTAATATAATTATTGTGACAGCAAGATTGTTTAGTTAATAACGTCAAAACAGCCCACATTTTATCATTCCATTTACCTGTTCCACGAAATGGAACCAAGCATCATACCTGGCAGATAAAATTACTTTATTCTCTTGTTATGTTGTTTCTGTAGGTGCCCACATTTATAGTTATTTTTTAAAAGCAACCTCATCTCTAAAGCTACAGCCTGTTCCAGTATATTCTCAGAAGAGCTTGTTTGTTGTTTTCACCTCACCCATTAATGTTCCGGATACGAGTCGGCGTGCTCTCTGTGCATGTAGGGGTGGTACCTCATTCAGGCTGTTAATGGTACATGCAGCTGGTCTGATGTGGCACATTTTTTACAAGTAAATAAATTACAGCCGTGGCTTGGTAAGACAATAGGAATCAGCAGGGAGTAAATGTTTACAACCTGTTTACTTAAGCATATGAAAGGTATATGAATTATCTGCTCAAATTAATTTTAAACTTGAACAAGACTATAAAACTATTATTTTCCATTACTGATTGATTATTTAATCACTTTTAGGATGATATGTTTTTTTTTCTGTTCGATAGAAAATGTAAAAGAATTAATAATTAACCTCAGGGTTACAGTGAAGTGATGCCCATCTCTGGCAGGTGGGGCAGGACACATATCTAGGGGCGATTTAAAGAGGCCGATTCACTAAACAGAAGTTATTTTGAACTGTGAGACAACTTAAGTACTTGGAAATACGCTCACAAGCATGGAGAGAACATGCAAACTCCAAACAGACAGATCGAGAAACTTTCATAATAATTACTGAATTAACTCCTCTTTTAAACAGCTATCTATGTATTTAATTTATCCAACCATATATTAGTTCACCTTAGGGCTGTGCAGTTTATGCGATAAACAATAGAAATGATCTGAAGATGGCCTATGGTAGAAATTTATCCTCTACCGTCCTGTCATCAGTTACGTCATCGCACCTGTGTCAAAATGGCTGCGAGTGCTGAAACAACTGAGCAGGAGTTTGAAATATAATGAAAACAAATGAATAAATATAGCATTTTAAAACACGCATAGAGGGTATAAATCCTCAAAATTTCCCCCTCCCGCTGTAGAAAAGTTACATTGTGCCATCGTGTCGCAGGATCATTTCCTCCTCCCTCTCGCTGCACGTCATACAGAACGAAGCTTTACCTGTAGTTTTTTCACACCCAAGTTTTCGGAGAAAAAAAAACTTGTTTTTTATGTTTTGATACTCACAGAGATGATTTAAAAAAAGATGAGGATGTTTGTTCAATCAAAAATCCATCTTGCTAATGTAACGGCCGTCTTCTGCTCTGAGAGCGCAGCAGGGCAGCGGGCCAGTTCAAAAGCCAGAAGCTCATTGTATGGCAGGCAGATATTACATTTATTTGGCTTCACCATTCTTAAATTCCAGCTATCTGAA